ATTAATACAAATTTATTTCCCTGTTCGCTGTTTTCCAACTTCATGTGTAGACAATAATAATCTTCATGTGGTTAAATTTACCATTTTCTTCAATGTTTCTGATTCTTGTTTCATATTTAGAAAAGGCCTTTCTTCTAGATTATGAACATATTAACCTCCATTTTATTCTATTTTTACTGTTTCATTCCCCCCCACCACCTCCAGAGATGGGGTCTACTGTACTGCCCAGGCTGGACTCTAACTCTTGGGTTTAAGCCATCCTCCCATCTCACTCTCCCAAGTAGCTGGGCCTACAGATGCATGCCACCTTGCCAGGCTTCATTCTTTACCTCTGAGTCTTTGATTCGTCTAATATTTATTTTGGCATGAGAAATGAGATAGATGCAAAGCCTCTCCCCAGTGGCCACTCATTTCTTCAATAATCTTTTTCCCACTGACCAGTGATTTGTAATGTATACACTGGTTACCATCGAGATTTCTGGAGTTGTCTGGCACCAACGTTTCCAAGTAACGATTTTGGATAACTTTGTAAAATGGAGATAATAATTGTACCTACTTTACAGAGATGTGACGGTTGAATAAGATAATCTGAAAAAGTATGCCAGCACTTGATACGTAAGTGCTTAGTAAATAGGAGCTATTGTTATTATATTAAACATAAGTACACAGGAATTTATTTTCAGATTCTCTATTCTGTTCTTTGAAATACCTCCCATGTCTTACATATGTAACCCATCCATTACCAACTCAGTCTTTCTAACGCCCTTTTTCCTCATTTCAACAAAAATGGTCACATCTGTTGTCTTTCTAATCATAACAAGAACCTGAAAATGTTAGCCTTGGCGGTAGGAAAAAAAAAAAAAGCTGTTCTTCACAATGTAGTGAGAATCAAAACCCAAACCAAGGCATTGAACAAACGATGGGGAAGGCAAGGTGCCTATTTCTTTCACCACCTATTTTGAAAGGCTGAAAGGAAAGCCTACCTTATCTCAGCTCTTGGGTTATAATCGAGATTCTCAAAAGCTAGTACCCTCTCATCCAGCTAGTTGACAGCCTCAAGACAAGAGGTTCACCATGTGACCCCAATTGGGCCCCGATTTTGGAATAACTATGTAAGGAGATTTGTAACAGGAGGTGCGGGGGCGGGGAGGGATTCTCTCCTGGGCCATTGGTCCTGACCTGAGAGTTCCCTCGTGGCAAGCTGGGCCGACCGTCCACTCGTGGGCTGATGCCCCAAGGCAGGAGGGGTAGGCAGGCGACTTCGGAAGCCCGCAAATCTGCACGCACAGGCATGATGGCGGACGGAGGTGGCTGCAGGATGGCCATCAAAGCCCTCAGAGAAGAGTGTGGGAAGAGGTAAGGAGAGGTGGGAAAAGGGGTAAAACCCCTAGAGATGCTGCCTTGGGCGGAGGCCAGGGAGACCAGCTTCCCGCGCCAACGACCCGCGTCACTCTGGCTCCTTGAGGCAAGTGCCCGGGGCTAGGTTCTCCGTTCTCTGGGGCTTGGGGAATCTTTGCGTCCCCTCAAGGCACTACAAGAGCGCCGCCTGAGCCCCTCCACGCCCGCCGTTGCCAGTGACCGCTCCCGCCTGGGTTCCTTAGCCTCTTCCCTCTAACGGCTCCGGCCACGGCCGGCGTCCGTGCGTGGGTGACGTCGGCGTAGGGGCGGGACTTCCTGCTTCGCGCGCCGCTTGGTCTCGGGACGGACCCCGCTCCGCCGGGCTGGAGGGGCGGCGGGCTGAGGCGACGTTTCGGCCGGACGTCAGCGCCGGGGTTGGCCCTGCACCCCTGAGGAGGCCGGGTCGCCGAGGAAGAGCGGGGCTTTTCGCTGCCGCTCTCGGAGCTCTCCCGAGATACATCAGGTTTCCCCAGGGTGGGGGGCCCGAGGAGCCCGCTCGGCCCTCTGGCTCTTGCTTTTCAGCTTGGGCGGCGGGCGGCCGCCGGGACCTCCCCAGGCGTGGCGGGCTGGGCCGACACCCCGCTGTAGGACTGTAACCCTTTGCCCCAATGCCTCCACGAGCCAAGTTGAGTGGGTGCCGATGGTTGGAGCTGTGGCGGTGTCCCCCGGTGGCAAGTGCGGCCAGAACTCTGGTCACTTAAGTTTTATGTGTGCAAGTTGCAAGGACCGTGTGTGAGTCTGGTACGTAACCTCTCTTTCTGGGGACAGCATCTTTTCCATGTTTTGGGATACTATTTTTCCCTCCACAACCTGCCCTTGAATCCTTTTTTATTTTCCTTGAAAAGTAATTGAGGCGCGTGTTAGAAAAGTAGCCTGTGAGACACGTTCTGTAGCCAATTCAATGCACGTGAAACTCTTTATGGAGCTTTTTTGATGCACCCTAGCGTGTTGGTTCTGTAGCCAGTTTAGTAATTGGCTAAACGTGTAAGTATCTCGAGTTTAATTTATGATGAAGAAGCTATGCCAACATTTTCCTTGGCCTTGAAGACAATTTTAACAGTGATGTTGGCTGCCATTAGTGAGATAACGTCTAAAATATGTTGGTATATGCCGGGTTTAAATAGATACTTTGGTAAATCCTTAGTGTCCAACTTTGACCGTAATCAGTGGGTACTTTGCTCTCAAACATACCCACTGCTAAGTGTTTTGAAAGCCTTTGGTCACATTAATCATCATGTGATGATGAAGCTATTTCAAATCTCAAAGAGGTCTAGGATAAGGAGACACTTGTTCATGATATATAGTTCATAATCTACTCAGACTATGAGCACAAAATACTTGAGTGGGTCCAAAACTGAGTAAGTCGTTAAAGCAATGCGTCTGTTACCAGGCAACGTCTCAGTAAACAAGTATAACAGTCAGCTAGAAAACTTATCCTGCAATTATCTGGATTCAGAATTCTAAAAATTCATGAGGTTAGCCTGTAGGTGGTTACACTTAATACTCATCTTTTGTATTGAGGCTTGATTTCAAACTCATTTTGTTCAGAATTATTAGAATGCTTTAAATTTCAGTGTCACACAGAGTTGGAAATGGATTTGAGTTGCCCTTTGCTTTTTTTTTTTTTTAGGACAAAGTATGCTGAGTATTACCCTTACTTTGAGTATTTTCTTTTCAAATCAGATGAAATGTGCAGACGATATTTAGAAATAATCTCAAATGATGGTGTAATACTAATTTAGAGTTTCAGACATCAATGGGAGATTGAAACACTTAACTATTCACAGGTAGTTTTTAATGCTTGGCGTAACTAATAACCTCAGTCCGCTCATTGAACTCTTAATGATATGATTTGTATGGCAAGTTTTTAGTTTTCTAAATGATCTTTTGAATGCAATAACCTTTCAAGTAAGTATATGAGGACATTTGAGACAGAGTGAGACTGAATGACTTCTTTGAAGTCAGTCTATTAGTAATGGGAATTGGAACTTGGAGTTTGGTGTTCTTAACATCATGCCCTTACTGTATTGCCGAAACCCATAGCTTCATTTTAGTTCTTTCCCCCTTTTTGCTTTCTTACATGCTGATGTTGAAGTAATGAAATATTCCAAAGTTGGGTGGGACAAACAGGAAAAAAAATCAAGAATGACTCATGATGTGTGATAAAATCCTTAGTAATCAGAAAACAGCATTATGTCGTGGGAAGTTCTAATTCAAGAATCTCAGAAGAATGAAATCTTAACAGAAAGATTAGTGAATTGTCAGAATTCTTTTTTTTCCTCTCTCTAGGTAGTCTCTTTGCCTAAAGTGAGTGAGTTTGATTTTAATTTTGTCATATGTAATGTATTAGGTTCAGTAAGTAATTTTCTCACATTGTTTAACCTGTGTGTACTTTTAGAGAATATGTGTATATATCTGTAGAAAACTTCCTACTAACTGAAGTTCACATTTTTTGATTTAAGCTGAACTCTTCAAAATCCTCTTTGTTTTTTCAAGCTTATGTTCTTTATAGAAAAGGTCTTTCTGCGCAGGCTAGTTTCTTCATTATCCTCTAAACCTGTTATGTGCTTTCTTCTTTCCATATTAGTTTTCATGTCTTTCTATCTCCCTCACCTGATTTCCTTCCCTCTTTCTTAAAATGTAAATTGTATTTTTTCTATAAGGTTCAACTTCACCATGACTTCATACATACTGTAGGAATAGTATGAATTTGGGAGTCTTATAATTGATACCTATACTTTGTATTGTATTTCTTTCTTTTTTTTTTTTTTTTTTTTTTTTTTTTGAGACAGAGTCTCGCTTTGTCGCCCGGGCTAGAGTGAGTGCCGTGGCGTCAGCCCAGCTCACAGCAACCGCAAACTCCTGGGCTCAGGCGATCCTTCTGCCTCAGCCTCCTGAATAGCTGGGACTACAGGCATGCGCCACCATGCCTGGCTAATTTTTTCTATATATATATATTTTTTAGCTGTCCAGATCATTTCTTTCTGTTTTATAGTAGAAACGGAGTCTCGCTCTTGCTCAGGCTGGTCTCGAACTCCTGACCTTGAGCGATCCACCGGCCTCAGCGTCCCAGAGTGCTAGGATTACAGACGTGAGCCACCGCACCCGGCCTGTATTGTATTTCTTAATCTTTTTTAATGTTTATCTTGACTTCCTAACTAGATTGTAAGCCCCGTTAAGGGCAAAACTCCAGATCTCAATGAGCTGTATCCTTAGTCTTTTCCAAATAGGAGTTGCTGAATAAATGTTTCTTAAAGATGATCAATGTGCATTTCTGTCCCCCTCCTTCCATAGCATAGTGGAAGTAAGAAGATTGTTGAGAGAGAGAGAAATTGAGGAAGGGCAACTGTAAACCATAAGAAAGGAAATTAAAGAGTGGGAATTCATTGGAATCAGAAGGAAAGTTTCTATTCCTAGAAAGTGTGAATATTTGACAGTTTCCCATGACAATACCAGCAGTAAGGACTCCCTCAGGAATGCTGGCACTGCTCCCAAGTGGGCTTGGGGAGTTTGGTCAATTTCCTGGTTCTTCCTTAGTAGAATCTTAATTTTAAAAGTGTGTCCCTCCACACTCTTCCCTTCTCCCCCTTCTTTTCCCTCCTCCTTTCTATTCCTTTCTCCATCTCCCCAGTTTACTCCTTTCCATCCTACTTTTTGACCTAGTTGAGACTTAATTTATGAAGTTATGTCAATTCTTCCATCTGTCCCTCATAAATTAGCAATTCTCCTAAGTTTATTTTGTATTTTTCCATTAGAATTGCCCTCTCTAGGTCATACCACTGACCGTCAAATCTAGTACTATTTCTTTTTAGTTTAACTGAGCTATAATCCAGGATGAAAGAAATTAAGAAAGTCAGAAAATGCCCAGTTATTTGCTTTCTGTATATTGTGACTTCAAATTGCTTTTGGTTTAAAATTCAGAGTTGGGAGGAACCTAAACCTGACCATTGCCTTTTGGAAAGCACTTAATCATTGTCAAACTACGTATTTAAAATGTCCAGGTAGTTTAATAGTCTTGCTGTAAATCCTGTATCTGATGCTTATAACAAAGAGTTACTTCAGTTGAAGGTATAAAAAGGTGAAGTTGAGTCTCAGAGTACTTTATAAATCTTGGTTTGATTCTGTTGTTTCTTGAGAGAGCTTGCCATCCTAGCTTCTGAGTTGTTGCCCAGTAACCCAATTGCAGTATAACGTAGCAACCATTGAAAACAGTAGCATTGGACTATAGGGATTTTTCCTATTGAAGCTGCAGTGCCTATCTCTAGTGTTCACATTTAATCTCTCTCAAATGTGATTAGATTTTGGGTTAGGGCAGATATTTCAGATATTATTAAAGGGCATACAATATATGTTCTTAAGTATTTTTTTGGAGTACTGACAAATTATAACTTCCTACACATTGTTTTTCATATCGAGATGCATGATAGATACGTATTGTTTGTGTGAAGGACATGTGAAAACACTGGTTCCTTTAAAGATTAGTCTATTCTGAGCAGTAAGCTATTAAGTAATAATTAACATTAGAGTTCTTGACCACTGTTATAGCCAGCCAGAGCTGAGGTAGGATGAGGTTGAAATGGTTCTTTTCTTAACATTTTTGTATTATTTCTGGAGCTTCATGGAAAGTTTGGATGAATAAGAACAATTTAACAGGCAATATGATTTTGTGGGAAGAGAATTGTGATTCAGGAGACCAAGGCTTGACTCGGTGAGTCACCTTTCTTGGCCTGTTTTCTCATTTGAAAAAGTAAATTTCTGAAGGTTTCTTCCAGGAATTGTGTGTTTTAAAGCAAATTTTATTTCTCCTGTTTATGGGTTTGGTTAATGTTTGAGTGCCTATTACGTGTCTTGAACGATGCTGGGCACTGGGGAGATTGGGAATAAGACATATTAAGTCTCAGGCACCTTTTTATCTGGTGGGGGAAATAGTAATTTGTAATGTAACATGGTAAATGCTATAAGGATAAATAATGTGTCTGGGGCACATAAGGACGCCTGACCTAGAACTGTAGACAATATGATCGAGAAATGCCTCATTAGAATTTTGTGAGTATAATTCGAGAGTGTACAGGAAGTAGTCAACCTGGTGTGGAGGGAATTAGTCAAGGAAAACTAGGGAGACGTTTCTTAGAGTTGGAGAGGCAAGATTAGGAGTCATCAGCTATCGTGGTAGTTGAGATTCTGGGTGTAGATGAGATTCCTAGGGAGAGTTGTATGGAATCAGAACATCAGCATGTAATGGGTAGGTGGAGAAAGAAAGTAGGGAGTAAAACCAGAATAGGGTAAGATCTTGGAAGCCAAGGGAAGAATGCATATGATACTTAGTTTATTGATTAAATGGAAATCGTTACTCAAGAAACATTGACTATATGGCCCTATAAATGTAAACCCATATAAATAAAGATCTGAACTTGCGAGCGGAGATAGGTTATGTCTTTGGTTAGCAGTGTAACAGAGAAAAGAGTATGTACTTTGGAGTCTGAATTCGGAATTGAAGGTTAGAATCCTGGTTCCACCGCTTTACTAGCTAAAGCTGTTCAACTTTTTGGACTGGTTACTTACTTTTTTGATCCTCATTGTCTTCATGTGTAAAATGATACTTTTTCCATAAGAGTCATGGATTAAAAGAAGGTAAATTGTAATACCAGACTCTTAAAGGGCACTCCTTAAATGGTGATTTTCATCCATTCCACTGTAATGGACTGTTCTGAACTGCACACCCTTCTTTTCCTCCCATTCCC